TGGGCCCTGAAACATTTAAGGCCTTGGTGGTTTCATGGAGGAGTTTTATTCTCAAGGCCAACATACCAAGAGAATGATAGAGAGAGGATAGTAGAAGCTTACCCAAAGATACTTGTCAACCCTTATGTATTTGGATCGCCAGGTTGATATAACTCTTGGCTATTTATAGAGAGGCAGGACAGAAGAGGTAGTAGGACAGCCAGTGAGTAAGAAAGGCGATGTGTTATTCATCCGAAACTTCGTCGAAATATTTATCATGATGGTCCTCTATAAAGTTCTGGAAGCCAGCACATTCGAAGTCGATTTTAGCATTTGTCTCCAAGGTTGGATCAAAGGTTTCACCCAGAGGAGAAAGACCTGTGATGGCCGCCACGTCGAAGAACGTTGGTGTCAACATGCCACAGGGAAAATGGAACGTGTTGGTCGACCCTTCCCAAAAAAACATCAACGCCAACAGCAAACAAGGATTGACCCTATGAGCATTCCTGAAGAGCTGAATGGCGTCGAAGATGCCAGCTGTCTTCCATTGGTACTGGCGTTTGCTCTGGAATTTATTCAACCAGGAGATGTAATCTTTGTTTCTTGGGGTAGGCATCGACCAGAAAACATAGGCCTTTGGCGCCATGAAATTTAGGTCGAGAGTACCACCTTTTTGGAAAGAAGGGGGAATAATGCAAAGGAAGCAAGGAAAAAATGCCTGAAGTTCCTCATGGTTGGGTTTGTTAGCAGGGTATGGCCCATGGGAAGCATGCAACTTTCCAACAACCGCAAATGGGATGATCATCTGGCGTTGCCAGGTAGCTACCACCGCCTCATCAGTGGACGTCAGATTTTGAAGGGGCCTAAGGGCGTCAACTTCAGAGAGAACAAACACAATATGATTGTTTCCGGTGGTGTGAATAGTAGAAATGGTTGAGGAAGCCATTGTAAGGGAATATCAAAGAAATTTTTGAGAGCAAGAGTTTGCAGGAAAGGAGAAGCGCGAGAAATGTTGGAAAAATAAAACCAAATATGGAAATAGGCTATTTATAGGCAAGCTGGCATGCAGTTGAAAAAACAAGGGACAGTTCCAATTCCAGAGTAAGAGGGAGTGGTTTAAAGGCCACAACTTTGGGATGCAACCAGGCATGATTAGCTTTCTTGGAAATCGTGGTGCAGAAAGGTGTCATTATCATGTCAGACTATGGGTGACACGTGGCTGACTCGATAGAAAAACAATGATGATGTTACTGAGTCATTACCAAGACGCAGTCAAAACCTCATATAACCAAAACACCAAGTTTCTCGATCGACAAAGTGCTCAGTCAAAACTGGGTTTTGAGGGGCATCTTGTTGGCTAGAAGTTTCGACTAAGGAAAGGCGACATAAATATTGGCTTGTGGGTCGACAGGTTAGGAAAGGTGGTGAAGGAAGCAATGTGAGTCAACACCAGTAGAGGGAGCTTTGTGAGTCGACTCAGGCCAATTCCGTCGAAGATGTCGACTGATGGGCAAGGAAGCCAACACGAAGTAGAAGAGCGTTTAAGCGGGAAGAAAATTTGAAAAGCTGAGAATGGGGGAAGTTACAGAAGTGGTGGAAGGACACATGGCGCCACCAAGATTAACAAAGCAATTATTTTGTTTTCCTATTTAAGGCAATGCCCATGATCGTTTTGAGGGGGCACATTTTGAAACATTGGAAGAAAAAACACTCTGAGTACTAAGCGTTAAGAGGAAAGAGTTTTATTTATGAAAAATGTATGATTGCGTCCACATTTCATTTTAAAAGCAACTTACATTACCAACTTTAAAGATTTCTTGTCTTTTGTTTTTTTGTCTTTTTCTTGTTTATTCACTTGTCTTTATTTAAGTCTACATAGTTTTTCTCAAATTTGTATTCAACCCATTCTAAACAACATCATTCTACCATAATCTCATATACTTAAATGCTTAGTTCTGGGACTTGTTTGGCTGGTCCCGCAAGTAAACCTGCGTTGGGAGGTCAAAGGTTGTTCGCGCGAAAATTGCATGCGAACACAAACCTATCTCTGATGTTTTATAGATGTGATTATCCAAGTAAAAATTATTCATCAAAATACATGGATTTGTCATCATAAAAAAGGGGGCGATTATTGGAACAAGTTTGATTCTACAACTATCCTTGAGTTCTGATTATAACAAAGTTTAGAGAACAATTTTATACTCTAAATATTTTGATAAGTGCACAAATAATACTAAACAAATTGTGATTATGAAGAGGAGCAGGCTCTGAAATAAAGACACATTCTGAACCAAATGATCAATCAAAAGTGTGATTACAAGGAAGTCAAGCATATGGATTTTCAAGTCAACGCTTTTGCAAAGAAACTATCCAGATAGACTCTGATAAAGACTATGACTATTCAAGCATATGAAGTCTCAGAACTCTGAACTCCGTAGAATCTGATGTCTCATTCTCACTAAGTTCTGAAGGCAGGTTTTGAAATCTACTCAAGCTTCATCAACTTTAATATAAAGCCTCTAATTAGAAGATTATATCCAAAAGTTAATGACTGATTGAAGTTATAGAAGTAAAAAAGAAAAATATACTTTCTATTGAAAAGGATTGCACTTTGTACCTACGAAGTTCCTCACGTCCCATGATCCTCACCAAGTCTATGCTGCAAGTGTCACTCTAATGTTATAAAATGAAGTGACCTTCATACAATTGTTATATTAGGGACATTCCAACTTCATCCTTAGATGAATCTATTCTTTCCTATATAAAGAGTTCTTGGAAACTTGGAAGAAAAAAAAATAATATGTAACACTGTATAAGGTTGCAAAACGCTCATACGTGAAAAGGAAAAGAAAAGTGTTTTCACTCTAAGAAAACTATTACGTTCATAAATGTTTGAACACTTTCTTGAAATATTTCTTATGTGTTTAATTAGTTTTAAACTTATGTATCTTCTATTTAGAAGCATCTTGTAAACATAACCTTGTTTATCTTAACCTTTGGTTAATTTCTTTGAGAGACTAAGTTTAGTCAGAATTTTAAAGAAGTCATTAATAGTTAGTCTTTGAGTTGTATTTCCTTGAGAGACTACGTTATAGTCAGAGTTCTCAAGAAGTCTTAGACAATTGGTATTTGAGTTTTGTAATCAGTTTGATTATTGGATTAAGTACTTATTGAGAAGGAGAAATAACTCAGACGGGCGCACTAGGCATTGTTTCGTTAACAGCGAACCAAAATATTAAATACTTAAGCTATTTATCTTTATCTTATTATTGTTGTTTGTGTTCTAGGGTTTCAAATATTTTTAATTATAGAAATCCAATTCAAATCCCTCACCCCTTTCTTGTGTTTCTTGAACCTTCATTTTTGTGTGAGTCCCAAGGAAGTAAATAATGCTTAAAACTAAACCCTTAATAAAAAAAATAGGTATGGAAATAGTCTGAAAGAAAAACCTCTATAGAATATGATGCGACTTCTCGACGAGGAGGATGATGCTCATACCTATAAGTCAAAATTATTAAACATCCCGACTCCTTCCCCTTGTAAATTGCATCTTGCCCTTTTGAGCCCCAGACATGAAAGACTAACTCCCACTTTAGTCGGACATGAGAACTATTTTGTAATATAGGATATATTTGTCACTCTTTATGACAAGAGTGAGTTTGTTATCGGTACTCTCATGACGTCTTGATATGTTTTTTGAGTTTTTGGGATTAATGGTGTACATCTCAGTCTCTCCCTATAAAGTACTTTGCCTCTTTGGATCTCATGTTTGAGGGACTATGTATATACTAATCTTTCCCCTTTAAAGCACCTCACATTTTTGTGCATCATGCTTGATAGATTGTGTACAATTTTGACTATCCCCTAAAACACTTCGCCTCTTTTGCTCCCATGCTTGAGGGGCAATGTACATTTCAGTCCCTCTCCCTAAAGCATTTTGCCTCTTTGGGTCTTATGTTTGAGAATCTGTGTACATTTCAGTCTCATCTTAGGTCAGGTATGAATCTGAGCATCAAGTAATAAGGTATAGTGAGAACCCGCATGCAAATGGATCTTTGGGCCAAGGAACATTCCATTTGATGACAAGAACATTTCTACTAGGAGATAGCTCTTAAAGACTTATTAAAAGCCATAAATGATAGACCCAGAAAAAAAGGCAAGAAAATGGAACCTATTAAATGACATCAATGAGATGGAGATATACGTGTTTATGGCTTATTAGACTTAAGAAGGATAAGTCTGCAAGGAGGATTTAACCGGCCACCCCCACTTAAACCTAACACCCCCTAATTATGGGGAAATTATCTTGTTACCTTTCAAAAAAATTCGAAAATTTTGCGATATATACCAAAATTTTTGAATTTTTTCTATTTTTTTTATCGAAAATTTTAAAATTTTCGATAAAAAATAAAAATTTTCGAAAAAAAATAATTAATATCAAAAGTTTCTTTTATTTTTACTAGAAGTTTAAAAAATTTCCGAAAAAAGAATGAAATTAATTTTTACATTATCGAAAATTTCGAAATTTGTGATACAATATAAAAAATTTCAAAAATTTTGATAGTGTTAAAAATAAAATTTTTTCACTCTCGAAATTCTTTTGATAATGTAATACTTATTTCAAGTATTTTCAAAGACAATTTTAAGATAAATGAAAATTTAAAGATACTGACATAATTTTGAGGTGCCCCTAAAAACAATTTGACTAACGAAAATATTAAGATCAGAAAACTTTAACTCCAAATGATCAATATAATATAGACTTCATAAACCCATAACCAAAACAACACTAGAGTTACTTGATTCAGAATGTAGTGAAAAGTTAATTCCTTGATAATTATTGTTATTTATTAATTTATAATAAAATATATTTTCTGCATTTAATTGCTACCATAGAATATCTCCCAATATAGAAACGATATGTTCGTTCAAAACAGTAACTACGCCTACCATGTTTGTCTCTTTAACGTTCCAATGTCAGACATCAAAAACAGAAAACAAAGCATCACTTTGCACATGACATGGATGGTGCACCTTCGATCAACCCATTCACCGTCCCATTTTTTCCCTTGTTCCCCATCATCATCGTCACCGCCACACTCATTCTCATCGCAAGCGCTGAAGATCAAGATACAAAAGAAAATACAAATATTCCCAGTCTCCAGGATGATAATGGCGCCGCCGACCTGTCATTACAACCACCGGTATCATCAAAAGACCCCGATCAAGTTGTAACAAAATCAGTTGCATTCAAACCTAGCGCAGCAGCGATCGTAGGTGTTTTAGCAACCACATTTTGCCTCACATTTTTACTCCTTCTCTACATGAAAAACTGCGATGGGGTTGCTGCCAACAACACAGATCAACATGGACATGGGGATTTGCAAGACAGGGAGAATTCCGGGATTGGACGGACAGCTGTTGATATGTTGCCGGCATTCGAGTTTGGTTCGTTGAGAGGACAAAAACAAGGACTTGAATGTGCGGTTTGTCTCACTGGGTTTGAGGATCATGATATATTGAGATTATTGCCAAAATGCAAACATGCTTTCCATATGGAGTGCGTCGACACATGGCTTAACCAACACTCCTCGTGTCCGCTCTGTCGCTATAAAGTTGATCCTGACGACGTATTTTCTTCTGATGAAGTGTTGATGTCGTCAGACGAGGAAAGCGGGAGAGTTATGAGTAATGTCATCAACAACAATGAGTCGTCACAACAAGAAAATGAAAGTATAGGTTCACGACGAGTTTCTTTTGTGACAGAGAGGATGTGTGAAGGGTCTTTGATTAGTAGTCATCATTCAAGAAAGGTAAAGAGTGAAAGTGTTATTGGACAACATAGGTTACATCACCAGATAGTTTTGTCTCCTACATGTTCTATCCCTTCAGATAGTGGTGTTCCCCAACGGTGGAGCAATTTTGAAACAGATGATATGCTTTACTTAACTTCTGATAGGATTATTAGTTGCAGTTCGTCTTCACATGACCGAAGGAGAAGCGCGGTGAGGCGATATCACAGTATTGTTGATGATGAGATGGAGAATGGCTTTGGTGGTGGTGGTGGGAGGAGGAGAAATGAGAGGGATTTGAGCGGTACTGTCTCGGATATGACAGGGATGCTGAGGATTTTGAATAGGGATAGAAGGAGGGAAAGAGACCGGCGTGGTGGTGGTGATGGTGGTCGAGAAGAACAAGAACGGCGACGGGAGAGTGTGGCTTCGAGGTGGTGGGCTTGGATTTCTAGGTCACAACTATCACATAGATCAAGATCAAGTTTTGAATGATGATGATATTTTTTAGTTGAGTTCTGTTACTAAAGTTTTGATCCACATTTTTTATAACAAAATAACATTATTATTATTGCCTTATTATGCCTATTACTTAAGTAATGGGGTTGCTTGACTTTTACTTTGCATTTTCATTTTTGAAGCTTAGGGTAGCATTAATAAGTACTAGACCCTATTATAACAAAATATAAAAGAATGACAAAACAAAAATGGAAATGCTTCCTCTAAAATTGTCTAGATAACAAGAATCAGCTTTAAACAAAGACAATTTGAGAGAGAGGAGGGAAGAGAATGAATGAATTGTGATGAAGTTAGTTTCTCTCATTATTTGCATTATTAGTGATATATGATTATATATCAGGGTTTATCACAAGTTTGTACACACCTAGTAACTAACTGCTAAAACATAGCAAACTAAAACTCTAAGACTCTTATCTAACATAATCAAGTAACTTGCAAGTTACACTTCAACCACCACATCATTTTTATTCAAGTTTTTTAGTACCTCCAAACTCATTAGTTTCTTCAATCTCTTGAAGAATTAAATTGTTACATTTTTAATAGCAAATTAGCCATTTGATATTCCCTTTTGCAATGTTCAAACTTCAATTTTTCTTCACTTACTTGCTTCTTCAAGTAGTGAAACTTCATATCTATGAGCTTACTTCTCCGATGCGCAATGGGATTTTTGGCAAGATTTATAGCAAATATATTGTCAGTGACTGTGTCACACCTTTCATTGCTCAATTCCTGTATCAAATTCATCACTCATACAACTTGGCAGACACAAAAGAATGTTGGAATGTACTCAACTTCACAGGACTATAGTGCCATAACCGGTTTCTTTCTTGAGCACCAAGAGATTAGTGATTCTCCTTACAAAAAGATGTATCATGTAGTTGATTTTCTACAATATTTATCACCACACCAATTAGAGTCAATGTATCCAAGTAATTTGCAACTTCTTCCCTTATTAAATGTTGAAAATAAGATGCCACAATCAATTGATCATTTGATATACCTCAAGATTCTTTTAACTACTCTGACACTTTTGGTTTCTCCATAAACCTATTCAGAATTCTCACATTGTATGCTAGGTTTGGTATTGTGTTTCACAAGTACCTCAATGATTCAATGAGCCTTCTATATTGTGTTGGATCAACTACTTTCTCATCATTTTCTTTTAATAGTTTTAGTCTTGGTTCTACAAGTGTTATGACAACATTACATTATATTGTTCCATATCGAATTTCTATAGAATTTCAAGTGCATGCCTCTTTTGATTCTCAAACATTCCTTTGTTAGTATTTTGAAACTCAACGCCAAGGAAATACATAATTGACCAAGATTTGTCATCTCAAACTACTTCATTATATCATTAAAAAATTCACCAATGTAGTCTTCATTACTTCTTCTGATAAGCAGATTATCAACATAAAGACATAAATTGACCACACCTTTGCTTGTATATTTCTTGACATGCACTCCATATCCATATACACATTTGCTGAATCCTAGATCCTTTAAAAAACATCGGTCCTCTTGTTCCAACCCTTAGGTGAATGCTTGATCCCATATAATGCTTTCTTTAGTTTTTAGACTTTTGATTCTTGTTTTTTCACAACAAAACCAATAACTCATGCTACATACATTTCTTCTTTTAAAGACCATTAAGAAATGTTAATTTGACATCCATTTGATAAATAGATCAGTTGTTGCTATTTGCAATTGCAACAAATAGTTTAATGGTCTCAATTCTGGACACAGGACAAAAACTTCCTCAAAGTTCACACATTCTCTTTGTAAGATCCTCTTTGCCACTAGTCTAGCTATGTGCTTAATCAATTATCCTTTTGGATTCAATTTTACTTTAAACACCCATTTTACTCTAATTGTCTTCTTTTCCTATAGGAACTAGCTCCCTAGCCGTGTTCCTTTCAATTGAGTACAACTCTTATTTCATTGAACATGTCTATTTTGAATCACTTAATGTTTCTTCTGTGTTCACTGACTCAGATTCAACAATTAATGCAAAATGGACAAGATCACCACTATTAGTTATGTTCTGAGCCGACCGTACTAATCCTTGTCGGACACCTTCAAGGAACTGTAATTCTTCTAGAGCCTTCTAAATTCAAGAGAAGTATCATACTGATTAATATAGATGATCCAAAATTCAAGTTCATCCAACAAATCTCTTTGATCCATACCTAACAAATATTGAGTTAGTTATTTCCTCTCTACTATATATAGAGAATGCAGCGTGCCAATCCAGATAATCCATTTTTAAATTCAATTTGAATTCACTCTTCTTCCCCACACACTGACATGAGCGTTGGAGTACTAACCTTATAGATCAACCTCCCTCTTTGCCCTCATCAGAAGTTCAAACCATCTATTACCTCCAATCCTCACTTCATTTCTAGTTACAATATAGATCAATGATGTTGTATGTGAGAAATGAGTTCTGATTCCTGCGTTTCCCATGATTTCACGTTTGATATTCAATTCGACAGTTTCTAACCTTCTCAGGTCACCGAATCAAGAGCGTCTAAAATTGAACACAAAGATTTGTCGTGTTCGATTCTATCAATCATCATTCCAAATCTAACTTCTTGAATTTCTAGATCTCTGATTCCTATGTTTCCAAGTAATGGCTATATCTTAAGCTACTCGTTCCACTACTATGCGATAAGCAGTCGACGTAGCTGCAGCTCAGGAAATGATCAATCAACCACTTCTACCTCCTTCGCAAGGCATTGCATATATACAAGTAGAGGTTCAATTGCATCCAGATCTTCTCCAAGCTCAATAAATATTTGGATTTTCCAATCATCTCCGATTGGACTTCAGGTTCCACCACCATTTTCATAACCAAAAGCCTTAACCGACTGTTAACTACTACGAGCTAACCTTGAACTACAAGGCTCCAACGCACTGCTGAAGAGCGTGTACAACATCGTTCAACATCAAAGTTTATAAGCAATAGAGAAAAGGTTGTTTCTCCTCGAAGAAAGCCTCAACAATGCGCTTTCATAGTGGAACATTGTGTATGAGGCTGGATCTATGAGAACTCGCATCGCTGTTGTCGCTACTGCGAAAATCGGCGCCGGCTGAACAGAAGAGTCGTCACCGTGCGTTATTTATCCCAAAGGAGGGAAAGGAAACGCTCGAAGTAAACCTAATGCAAAGATGGGAAAGGAATGGTCATCGCAACCAAATTCCTGGATTCGGGAGTCGGTTACGCAAGGGGAAGGTATTAGCACCCCTCACGTCCGTCATACTCGACGGGATCCACGCTTGTTTTCTAGTACGGATTGTGATTCTATCTACTCTAAAGGTCAAGGGTTAAAAGAAAAGAAAATGACTCGGCAAAGTATCACACTTTATGCCTACGTATTCCCGTCTAGAACGAGAAATCAGAGTCAACGTAGTTCGCCTACCTACGGGAAAGGAGGGGAAGGTTGCTCGCTAGGATATTGCATCCTATGCCTACGTACTTTCATACAGCATGAAAGATCATAGCAAACGTAGTTCGGGCTACGGAAGACACAAGCTTGTCTGACAGTTTTTTATCTCCTTATGAAAGGGTTTTTCTGATTAAGAGTCCAAGTAGACAAAAATGACATCTTGATGTTTGTTTTCAGTCTTTTACGCAAGAACTGTCTTTTATGATGCTTGCAATCTCTGACGCACTAGAGACTATGATTTGAGGGTGACTACGTCGTATGTCACCCTAAGGGTAACACACTAAGCAATCAGATTACTAAAGAGTGACCCTCCAGCAACCTTTCTCAAATAGCTTAAGGCTCGTAGCGTACGGCATCGATTATCCTTATTACTGTGTTTTGAATTGTTCTGAGATAGAAGAGAAAGAAGTTCTAAAAAATCCTAGGGTTTGAAAGGGAATCAAAACTACCCTAATGTTATCATGCATGGATTACAACCTAATGTCTGTCATAATTCCCTCCTGCACAGAGGAAATCAGAGATCCTAGGGGATAAACGGAAAAGAAACAACAAAAATACAATAAACAGTAAGTATGCATGAGATGCAGCAAAACAATAGGCAAAGTGAAACAGCTTCACCTCAAACCTAAGGGAAAATCAAAAGACAATACAGCAAAGAAAATCACACCCAACACCAGCTCAGACAGCCACCACAACTCCTACAGCAAGCAGTTCAAACAGCACCAGCTCTGGTAGCTACAGTTGATAAACAGCAAAAGGTTGACAGTAACAATCTTCAAGCAAGATCCTATCTTCTCTTCAATGAGGCTCAAGCTTCAGGTAAGCTCCTATCTTCAGAAATCTCCAAGCTCTGGCAAGCAATAGATCCCAATCAGTGGACAGCTTCAATCAGCAGGAAAACCCTAATCTTCAACAGATACCCATCTTTGACAGGCACAAGCTTCATCTTCACCAATCTTCAATGAACTTCTTATCTTCAATAGGTCTTTAACTTCAATGCAAACACTCACAATAGAGAATTAAGTAATAGAGGAAGTTGGAATGTTAAGAGGCTTAATGATAACCCAGGGAAATCACTAAGATCTTGACACAGCTAGTGAAAGTTATCCTCAAGATTCTACCCAATCAAAGCATGCTCTACATCCCTCCTAAGGAGTGATGGAACTCTTTTAGGGGACCTTGTGTCATAGGATGGAATAGAGGCACAAGAAGCTCTCTATGTTTGACAGAAGAAATCAGTCCACTCTAGAGCTCTCCATATATCTCCTATCTCCTAAGTCTTCAAAAGCAATCCTCAAGCACAAGCAACTTCAAGCTCCAAGCATCATTATTGGTCTTCAATCATCCTCCAAGTCTTTATACAATCCTCAAGCCAAGCACAAGCCCCAACACCCAAAGAAAAAGCCCAAAACTCAACAAGCAAAGCAACTTCCCAAGAAGGAAACATACCAATATCAATCAACTTGCAAAAATCAAATAAAATGGAAAAACTCATTATAAAATCCTAGATTAATTTCTAAGGGACCC